GAAAGTTTATTCGAATGACTGTCATTGCTTATATTTCCTCCATTCTTATTTTGTTTTTAAGGCAAAAGCAAGAAATACATAAAAGTTATAACTTTAAGATCAGTTAACACTATACAGATATTAAAATAGATCATGTCAATCACTCTATTTCTGAAAGGATAACTGACTATAAACCATTAAAAATGGAGGAAGTAAATGGGATATAAGGTGCTGCCCCGACTGTGGAGAAATTGGGACCCTCATACATTGCTGTGGGAAGCAGCAAAGCTAAAGGAAGACTCATCCTGTCACCAAGTATTTCACTTCTAGGTATATACCCTAGAACTGAACACAAGGATTCAAGTAAATAGTTATATGCCAGTGTTCACTGCAGATGACTCACAACAGTCAAATAGTGGCACAGACTCAAGTGTCTATCAATGGATGAATGAAGAAACAAAATGTGGTATATCCATATAATGGAATATTATTCAGCCATAAAAAAGAATGAAAGTCTGACACATGCCACATGTATGAACCTTGACGACATTATGCTCAGTGAACTAAGTCAGAAACAGAAGGACAAATGCTGTATGATTCTATGATTCCACTTATATATAAAGGGCCTAGATTGAGCAAGTAAGACCAAGTATAACAGAGGTTATTACCAAGGGGCTAGGGGCAATAGATAGTGAGTGTTTAATGAATATGGAGTTTTAGTTTGGAATGACAAAAAAACTGCTAGAAATGGGGGGGGGGGATAGTTGCACACTGTGTCCTCAATGTCACTGAAATGTACACTTAAAAATGGGTAAAATGGCAAATTTTATGTTGTATATATTTTACCACAACAGAAAAGACATTACACACACACACACAATGTAGGAAAGAAACAGAGTAGTAATTTAACATGATGTTCAGAAGTCCGGAGCTCAGGAGCTCTTTATCAAGATGGCTGCTAATGTATACATGGTGACATTTAGGTGGGTCTCTGACATCATTCCAAAAGTCACAAAGGAAGGCAGACTATAGTAAATAATTCCTATTAGCACTTTACTTCAAAAAATAAGTTAAAAGGTAAGCTATTTATTTAAAGGGAAAAAAAAATGTTTGTACCACTTGTTGGACCTGGGCATAGGATAACTCCATCTTCTTTACTCCCTTTCTAAGGTAAAGGTAGGAATCAAAATTCTCTGCCTATTTCTGATTTAGGATTAGGGCTAGCCTCTTACCCTGAAAGTCTGTTCCAGTTTTTCCCGGTGGGAGACTTGATCCAGGGTGCCATCCGTCTGACTCCTTTTCAGACCAGTTGTGATGTCAGGGACGTTGCTGAAATCTGCATGAAAAATAACAAAAAACATGTATGAGTGTGCCATTTGAAGAGAGTATTAAAGACCGGCTAAAGGCTCAGACAGATAACGAGAGGAAGAGGAAAACAACCAACGACCCAGATGGCAGCACACAGAGATCCTTGATGACACCAAGTTACAATGGAAGGAGTATCTTCTGCCTGTTTTGGTCAAAGAAGACCAATCAAAATAATAACTTAAGGAACCAGCAGACAGCACAATGGTTATGTCGCTGGACTCCCATGTAATCAACCACAATTCAAGTCCTGGATCCAGTGGCTTAAAACTCACGCCAGGCGCATGTGCTTGCCTGCCCAACATCCTGAGAGGAAAACAGAGGAGAAGGGACTGTGGTGTGGCCATCCCCCCTTGGGGGGGGGGGGGGATTTCTCACTTTCTCTTTGTCTGTCTCTATCTCTCCAGTGAGAGCATGTGCCCTATAGCAAAATCTCTCCCTAAAAATTAAAAATAATAATAACTTAAATATCACTTTGCTCTTTCTGTTGCTGTGTAAATCAAGCTTCACACTAAGCATTGCTTTGTTTTTAAATTTTTTTAAGGTTTTTGCCATAGAGTATCTGTGCTCACCAGAGACAGAAAGAGAGAGTGAGAGAGAAAGTAAGAAATCACCCCTCACTGGGGATGGCGACCCCACAATCCCTTCTTTTCCATTCTCCTGGGATTTGGGGCATTCACGCACACACATCCACTGTTTCAAGCCAGGTCCAAGACTTAAATTGGGATCAGCCATGTGTCTTAACCACTATGCCACCTGCTGGCCCCACTAAGCTCTACTCTTAAGCAATTTATTTAAGATAATCAAGAGATCAGCAGTTAGCGTAATGGCTATGTGGCTGAACTCTCATGTAGCCGACCGCAGTTGAAGTCCTGGACCCAGTGGCTTAAACTCACGCTGGGTGCGTGTGCGTACGTGCCCAAGATCCCGAGAGGGGAATGGAGGAGAGGGGATTGTCACATGCCATTCCCCCTGGGCGGTGATTTCTCGCTTTCTGTCTCTCTCTGTCTCTCTGGTGAGTGCATGTGCCCTGTAGCAAAAATCTCTCCAAAAAAAAGAATCAATGAACAGTAACCTTTGTTGGTACTTCTCTATTTTTGGCCCAGTGAAGACAAAATTACCTGGGATATCTTGGAAAACTAATTATGGAATATTATACTTATTTATTACAATCTACAATTGCTCATTTGTAAACATAATTTTTCTTATTCTGGCATAAGCCATCATTTCATCCTAAATTGAAAGCCCTAGGGAGAACGACAAATCTTTGTTAACTTCCAGATTAAAGGCTAAGAAGTGATATTAAGGTACGTAGGGCATGCAGTTTTCCAGCCTACAACTCTTCACATGCCCCATCCTAGCACTTCTCTCCATGGTTCTCAAGGTTACAAATTCAAAAGCAATGGGAAGACCAGGTGCTGTCCAAATGTGGCACACTTCTGTTCTGATTTTTGTATTTGGTTGACTGTCTCTTCACCAAAGTAAAATCAGATGGTTTCTAATCCCAGTTAGCTATAAGATGTCAACCTGTCAGAGTTGAGCTAGGCCTGAAAGGCAAGGATAGACTTTCTGACAAACTGCCCAGCGTAATGGGGTAAGGACAATAGTCTCTGGAAGACTCTAGAAGCTGCGAGAGCTCCAGTGATGGGTAGGAATGCTAGAGCGGATATGATCCACACCGACAGTACCAACCACTGCGCAGGCACTTGCTCCCAGGACCAGAGGAGCCCAGAAAACACCTTGGTATTATACAGGATTCTGCAGCCCGAATTTCCCCTTCCCTCTGTCTTCCAAGCACCCTTGTCCCACACAGAAAAGGACTAGATAATCCAGGTCACACTGTAGCGCTGCTGGCTGTAGAGGTAAGTTAGCTCAGACAGGTCATGCCAAACACAGAAGCACGAGCCGTCGCTGGGGACGCTTAAGAAAGTAGTGACATGCCAGGATACTTGCACTTGCCTCTCCCACACCACAGAGGCAGGCACTCTCCAGGGGCTGACTACCCGGGAAGTAAAATGAAACTCTGAAGTGACCCTACCACTGCTCCTCCATCACCACCTTCTTATTCTGACACGTACGTCTTCGTTTAAGGAAGCCCAACCTAAATGATTTACAAAAGAAAAACCGCCTTCATTCCTTCTGTATTCAGCATGGGTGTTTCTCTCCTTCTACCCATTCACTATGCACGTACACGCTATTTTCCGTATGCTGCTAGATGCTAGGAACACACAGATGAGTACGAGGCTCTCGAGTTCTGCAAGTAGTCCAGGGAGAAGTGATGGGTGGGAGAAGGGAGGCAGAGAGATGGGCAGAACCAAGTGTCCCCGATGACACCAGAAACTTACAGGGTTGAGCAGGGACACTCAAGAAGGGACTTAAAAGATGTCATCGATGGGGACCAGCAGATGGAGTAATGGTTACCTCGCTGGACTCTCACATGGTCAACCACAGTTTGAGTCCTGGACCTAGAGATTTAAAACTCATGCCGGGCATGTGTACGTGCGTGCCCAAGTTCCCAAGAGGAGAATAGAGGAGAAGGGATTGCACAATGGCCATCCCCTCAGGGTGTGATTTCTCGCTTTCTCTCTCTCTCTCTCTCTCTCTCTCTCTCTCTCTCTCTCTCTTGTGAGTATACATG